GGGTATAGTACAGTATGGGGGGTATAGTACATGGGAGATGTATAGTATGGGGGGTATAGTACAGGGAGATGTATAGTATGGGGGGTATAGTACAGTATGGGGGGTATAGTACATGGAGATATATAGTATGGGGGTATAGTACAGGGAGAGATATAGTACAGGGAGTATAGTATGGGGGGTATTTACAGTATGGGGGGTATAGTACAGTATGGGGGGTATAGTACATGGAGATATATAGTATGGGGGGTATAGTACAGGGAGATGTACAGTATGGGGGGTATAGTACAGTATGGGGGTATAGTACAGGGAGATGTATAGTATGGGGGGTATAGTACTTTATGGGGGGTATATAGTACCGGGAGATATATAGTATGGGGGGATATAGTACAGGGAAGTGTATAATATGGGGGGTATAGTACTAGGAAGAAGTGTATAGTACTAGGGAGAAGGTATAGTATGTGGAGGGTTTAGTACTGGGAGGAGGTGTATAGTACTGGGAGGAGGGTGTTTAGTACTAGGGGAGGTGTATAGTACGGGAGGAGGGGAGGAGGTATAGTACAGGAGGAGGCGTATGGTTTAGGAGTATCGGGGGGTTTTTTAGTACGGGGTAGGAGGAGGGGTTTTAGTACTACGGGGAGGAGGTGTAGAGTATGGGGGGGTGTTTTAGTACGGGAGGAGGTGTATAGTACTGGGGTATGAGGAGGTTTTAGTAGAGGGGGGGTGGGTTAGTACTGGGGAGGAGGTGTATAGTATAGGGAGGAGGTGTATAGTGGGGGGGTGGGTACTACTGGAGAGGTGGAGTATAAGTATTTTATATGGGGGGGTTTTTAGTATGGGTGGGGTGTTTAGTACTGGGAGGAGGTGTATAGTATGGGGGGTTTAGTACTGGGAGGAGGTGTATATCGTACTGGGGGGGGGTGTATAGTATGGGGGGGTTTAGTACTGGGAGGAGAGTGTATAGTTTATGGGGGGGGGGTTTATACTGGGAGGTGTAACTGGGAAGGTGGGGTTATAGTACTGGGGGAGGTGTTAGTACCGGGGGGGGTACTGGGGAGGAGTGTATAGTATGGGGGGAGGTTTAGTACTGGGAGTACCGGGAGGAGGTGTATAGTATGGGGGGGGGGGGGGGGGGGTTTAGTACTGGGAGGAGGTGTATAGTTTGGGGGAGGTTTAGTACTGGGAGGAGGTGTATAGTATGGGGGGAGGTTTAGTACTGGGAGGAGGTGTATAGTATGGGGGGGTTTAGTACTGGGAGTGCAGAGATTCAACCTATGTCTGTAGCCCCCTTGTCCTCGTTATTTTCACCCTCAGGCCTGGGGGAAGTAAAGCTCCGACACAGAAGTGTGCATCTAAATCTCTGAAAGTTTCATGCATGACAAGAACGGTGATACAGAACTCAGCAGGCATTGCTTAAGGTGTACAGAATGGGGTGGGAGGAGGTTATAGTACTTGGGAGTGTATAGTACAGGGGAGAACATGTATAGTATTGGGGGAATGGGGTGGGGGAGTATAGTAAAGGGAGAGGTTTGGGGGGGGTATAGTATAGGAAAGAGGTTATAGTGGTGTGTGGGGGGGGGGGGGGGGGGGTATAGTACAGGGAGGGTGTATGTAGTACATGGATGTGTATAGTCTGGGGAAAGGGTATATAATATACCTAGAAGGTTATAATGCAGGGTGTATAGTACGGGGGGGGGGGGGGGTTATAGTACTGGGGGGTTTAGTACATTGAGGTGCATATTGGGGAGGAGTTGGTTTGTAGTAAAGACGGGGGGGGGGTGGTACAGGAAGAGTAGTACAGTACAGGGATAAGGGTGAGGACAGGGGAAGTGTATAGTACGGGGGGGGGGGAGGGTTTAGTACTGGGAGGGGTGTAATTCTACCATTGAATGTGTTGATCCTGCCATCTGATAACTTCCTGCACTGTCTGGCAGTGCTGCACCTTTGTCAGTTACACTGTACTCGGCTATCTATGCGGACTACAAAACCCCTCCCCCGTGGTATGGAGAAGAGGAGGGGGCGGTGTTCTAGGGTGATGTGTGATACCGCCCATCTTTCTGAAACAAAGTCCAGTTAGAAGGGAGCACTGATACACATCATCACTGCGACAGAGAGGCCACATCTACTGATAGTGATTATCTGGTGTCAGGTGACTTCTGTATACCAATCCAATGAATCTCATTGGACCTTCTTTGGGGAATGCACTTGATTGGCTGTTCTAGGGGACAGCTCCACATATTGTTCCCGGGGTGAGGATAAGGGTGTATTTAGTTGTTATCCTGATGATCACAATGCAGGCGTCGGATGCGGCACAGCGCAACATATACTGACGTCATATTGCTCGCTGCATGGCAGGAAGAACGCCAAGCCACATGAAGGGAGGAATGATGGGACATCTGGGAGCCCCAAGCGTTTCTGCAAGGCATTGTGGGAACATTTCCTGCAGATGGTTTTCATTATTCCTGAAGGAGGATTTGCAGCAATGCAATTATATTCTGCGGGTGAGAATGAAGAAAACCCCCCCCCAGCATGGAATCTATAGGGGTCTAACCCCCAGAATGGAATCTATAGGGGCCCAGTCCCCTAGCATGGAACTTATAGATGCCCAGCCCCCTCAGCACAGGATCTGTAGGGCCTGCCACAGCGTCTATAGCGGTTCTTTTATACACTGTTCGCATTTTTGACTGCTGACAGCAAAATTGCCTCACCTGGGAAAGGGGGATGATGGGAGATTGTTAGGTGAGGGTACACATCTGGAGAGGGGGATGATGGGAGATTGTCAGGTGAGGGTACACATCTGGAGAGGGGGATGATGGGAGATTGTCAGGTGAGGGGGTACACATCTGGAGAGGGGGATGATGGGAGATTGTCAGGTGAGGGGGTACACATCTGGAGAGGGGGATGATGGGAGATTGTCAGGTGAGGGGGCACACATGGAAAGGGGATGATGGGGGAGATTGGTCAGGTGAGGGTACACATCTGGAGAGGGGGATGATGGGAGATTGTCAGGTGAGGGTACACATCTGGAGAGGGGGATGATGGGAGATTGTCAGGTGAGGGGGGTACACATCTGGAGGGGGGGGATGATTGGAGATTGGAGGGGGGTACACATCTGGAGAGGGGGATGATGGGAGATTGTCAGGTGAGGGGGTACACATCTGGAGAGGGGGATGATGGGAGATTGTCAGGTGAGGGGGTACACATCTGGAGAGGGGGATGATGGGAGATTGTCAGGTGAGGGGGTACACATCTGGAGAGGGGGATGATGGGAGATTGTCAGGTGAGGGGGCACACCTGGGAAAGGGGGATGATGGGAGATTGGTACATGAGGGTACACATCTGGAGTGGGGGATGATGGGAGATTGTCAGGTGAGGGAGCACCCCTGGTAAATGGGAGTGATGGGAGAATATCAAGTGAGGGGGCACACCTGGGAAAGGGAAATGATGGGAGATTGGTAGGTTAGGGTACACATCTGAAGAGGGGGGTGATGGGAGGCTGTCAGGTGATGGTACATATCTGGAAAGGGGATGATGGGAGGCTGTCGGGTGACGGTACACACCTGGAGAGGGGGATGATGGGAGGTTGTCAGGTGACGGTACACACCTGGAGAGGGGGATGATGGGAGGCTGTCAGGTGACGGTACACACCTGGAGAGGGGGATGATGGGAGGCTGTCAGGTGACGGTACACATCTGGACAGGGGGTTGATGGGAGGAGATTGTCAGGTGACCCACACATACACACCTGGAGAGGGGGATGATGGGAGGTTGTCAGGTGACGGTACACACCCTGGAGAGGGGGATTCTGGATGGGAGATTGGTCAGGTGACGGTACACACACTGGAGAGGGGGATTATGGGAGGCTGTCAGGTGACGGTACACAACCCCAAAAACTGGGCTGGAAAAAGGTGATTGGCACCCTGGAGAGGCGGATTATGGGAGGGGATGATGGGAGGCTGTCAGGTGACGGTACACACCTGGAGAGGGGGATGATGGGAGGTTGTCAGGTGACGGTACACACCAGGAGAGGGGGATGATGGGAGGTTGTCAGGTGACGGTACACACACCTGGAGAGGGGGATGATGGGAGGTTGTCAGGTGACGGTACACACCTGGAGAGGGGGATGATGGGAGGTTGTCAGGTGACGGTACACACCTGGAGAGGGGGATGATGGGAGGTTGTCAGGTGACGGTACACACCTGGAGAGGGGGGCCTCATGATGGGAGGTTGTCAGGTGACGGTACACACCTGGAGAGGGGGATGATGGGAGGCTGTCAGGTGACATTGCACATCTGGTGGCTCCTGTTGGGGAGAAGGAGGAGAGAAGATTGTATGCAGCTCACCCACCCATACATATTCGATCTGATTTTGTAGTATGTCCTCTTAGGGGGGAGGGTAATATGATTATATGTAGCCCACCTCACCCATATGCATTGGATCTGTTTGGTGGTGTCTCCTCTGATGAAGCAGAAGGGGAGATGATGATATTTAGCCCACCCTGCCCATACGCAGTGGATCTGATTGTTGCCATCTGCTCTGGAGGAGGGGAATCGATTATATATGTAGCCCACTATACCCATACACACTAGATCTGATTGGTGATGTCTCCCCTGGCCAATGAGATTTTTCTATGGACTTACTTCTGTGTTTAATTGGTCTTTGTGTTTTGTTTTTCAGGGTGTGGAAGTTGTCTGCGGTGTTGATGGCGTGTCATGCGCATTTCAGGAGGGCATCGCACAGCTGACATTGGATACCGGAGACCGCCACCAGATGTGGCTCAGGATTAGTCACTGGGACTCTTCTGCAGTCTGAGGGGGTGCAGCCTCTCCATGCCCGGGAGCCTGTCCCCCTCAGACATCTCTGATTTATTACCACCTGGAAATTAGCTGTCCGTAGTAACATCCCCTTATCTACTGCCACCACTTCAAACATCGTTCTCAGTGGCACAATTACAACCCCAACAGATCATTCTTCACAGAGGAATTCCACCCATCATTGGCCAGGATGAGTCAGAGTAGTGGTCCGAGCCCCCGGCTCCTTGACTCTCCTCTGCTGCTACAAAGTTCTGAGCTTCTCTGCAGCTTGGGGAACGCCCAGCCTGAGCATATGCATCACCCTGACTCCCTTACACCTTCACCAAAGAGCCTTGCACCATCTCCCATCCCCCAGACTCCAATTCCAGTACCGCCTGGGGACTGGGAGAGCCGCGAGGAGCTTCGACTACGAGAGCTGGAGGAGGCCAGGGCACGGGCGGCTCAGATGGAGAAGACCATGCGCTGGTGGTCAGACTGTACAGCCAACTGGAGGGAAAAGTGGAGCAAAGTGAGAGCCGAACGCAACAAAGCCAGAGAGGACGGTGTCCAGCTCCGTGGCCGGCTCGAGGTTCTCAGCAAAGAGTTAAGTGCTTTGAAGAGGGAGCGCCAGGAGGCCACTGCTGAGACAGAGCAGCTCCGAAGGGAGCTAGAAAGACTTCAAGGAAAGGGGGCCAGTGACCAGGATACGGAGGAGCCTGTGCGAGATGTGGACAATGACAAACTGCGTAGATCCAAGGTGAGCCCATTCTGATGTACGGAGGATGGTAATTGAACACTGGGGGTATATTGGTTATGTTAGTGAGCTGGGCTTTTTCTCAGAGGCAAAGAGCAGTGACCCATATCAATCAATCAATCAATCACAAACTGCCTTTCCATCTTCTGAAGTCAAAGAATGGGAATATGGTTGCTCTAGGTTACATCTGCCTTTGCTTTAATGAACAGTTCACACTGTGGCCCAGGGGGTGCAGAAAGGCAGCTGTCCATGGGTCCCCAAGGGAACCAGAGGGGCAGCTGTCCATGAGGTCCACGAATACAGCATGTGGTAATGAAGGGGTTTGGAACTGGCGGAGGAAGTAGTGGTGCAATTTAGTTGGTGCTCAGCTGCCTCCCGCCTCTTTTATAGTCTGTTAGGGGACTATGACCTAACTGTACCCTAACCTTATACTGTATTTTAAAGCAAACCACCATCCAAAACCTGTGCTTTAAATGGGATGAGAAAGAAATCCCATTGGTGGGATTTGATTTCCTGTCCCGGTGACCTGGACACCCCCTTTGCACATGTCCTGCTGTCCGAGGAGACAGGAAGCTAGAGATACTCTTCCCCACAGTGGTCCTGACCATTTTCCGTTCACCCAGAATGAAGAAAAGTTTGGTTGCCACATAATCTTTTGTTGTTATCTTTCAGGAGGTGGAGAATGGAGTGTGCCCAGAGAGTGGATGTTCTTCTCGTAGCCCGAGGTCCAGGCCCTGGGATGATATGGGGCCCAGCGATGAAGAGGTGTCTAGGATCACTGCGCTAAAGCTGAGGCTGGATGAGAGTCAGAAGGTTCTGCTAAAGGAGAGAGAGTAAGTATGGTCCAAGGGAGGGGGAGAGAGTATGGTCCAAGGAAGGGGAGTGAGTATGGTCCAGGGGAGGAGAGTAAGTATGATCCAAGGGAGGGGAGTGAGAGTGATCCAAGAGAGGGGAGAGAGAGCGGTCCAAGAGAGAGGGGAGAGTGTGATCCAAGGGAGAGAGTGTGATCCAAGAGAGAGGGGAGAGAGTGTGATCCAAGAGAGAGGGGAGAGAGTGTGATCCAAGAGAGAGGGGAGAGAGTGTGATCCAAGAGAGAGGGGAGAGAGGGGGATTGGAGAGTGCGGACCCAAGAGAGAGGGGGGAGAGTGCGGACCCAAGAGAGAGGGGGGAGAGTGCGGACCCAAGAGAGAGGGGAGAGAGTGCGGACCCAAGAGAGAGGGGAGAGAGTGCGGGACCCAAGAGAGAGGGGAGAGAGTGCGGACCCAAGAGAGAGGGAGAGAGAGTGCGGAACCAAGAGAGAGGGGAGAGAGTGCGGAACCAAGAGAGAGGGGAGAGAGTGCGGAACCAAGAGAGAGGGGAGAGAGTGCAACCCGGGAGAGGGAGTAAAAAGTAAATAGTGCACTATGGTTTCTGGGCTGTACTATGGGTACAAACAACTAACATACACATGTGGTATCGTTGCAATCGTCAGGAGCAGGAGAAATTATTTTGAGTTGTTCTTCAGTGGTAGGTTATGGTAGTAGCAAGAAATATACAGCTATTTTTTTGAAAAAAAGGGTTTTGTTTTTTTTTTTTTTTTTTTTTTTTTTACTATTTTGGGCCAGTTTCCCTTTGGTAGTATACAAAAAAAGAAATCGGGAGATATCCAATACCATTTAAAACCAAATGAAAGCCCAATTTGTCCTGAAAAAAAACAGGTATAATCCACTGGATGTACAAAGTAGTTGTGATGATATGTACGGTTTTACTAACACATGTCAACGTTGCAAAATTGTGCTTGGGCATTAAGATTTGTTTTACCCTTAGGCGAGAAGGGGTTAATAAAGCTGTGATGGTGTGCATGACATTGATTCCCCTCACACTGTATGTAACAACATCCATCTGTGCAGTTAGATTGTAGTGTAATATGAAGGTTGTCCACTAACCCACGCCTCCTCTTCTTCCTCTCTTCATCCGCCTACTGACTGGCTCCTCCTTCTGCTCCGCCCTCTCAGCTCTGTGTCTGCAGGTACCTGTGTGTCTGTCCTGTGCCACGTCCTTTTTTTTTTTTGCTGTGCCGAGCCGTGTTTGTGCGTTTATTGTGTGCGCTGTCAGTGATTATGGCTCCCTGTAATGGCATGATTGGTGACACACATGGTAAGGAAGACTCACTTCAGATCAGGAAGATAAAATGTAATTGGTTGATTCTAATGAACAGTTTCTCTTTAGAGACAAGATGCTTCTAAATAAGACCATAGAGAAGATGGAGGGAGAGATCAGCCACTGGAAGATGAAATGTGATGAGTTGAACAAGTCCCGCCAGGAGGTGATGACACAGGTGAGACTCGGGTCACAGTTATTTTCACTCCAGAGGGACAGTCGGGGGCGTATTTACCACAAGGCAAACCAGGCATTTGCCTAGGGCAGCATTTTTTAGGGGGGTAGCACTGCCCCCTGGAAGAAGGGATATATGCAGTATGCTGACCAGGTGGGATCTGAGAGAGGCTGCTTGATGATGTATTCAGAGCCTGACTGTCGTTCCTGGGGATGTCCAGAGCTGTAAAGGTGAGTGTCTTTCTATCTGTCGCTGGGGGCTGGGGGGGGGGGTTAAGGGAAAGGCTCTCTTGGGTGGGGGGGGATGATGGGGCAGGCTCTCTCTGGGGGGGGTGGGGTCTGGTGTTGGTTGGTGACGAGCTCTCTACGTCTGGGAGGAGGGGCATTTTTTGTGTTGCCTAGGGCAGCACAAAACCTAAATACACCACTGGGGACAGTCATCTCTTTGACATTCTCCCAGTTGGAGGTTCTCCCTCTAGTAGAAGAATGTCAGTGCAGTCAATATCCTTGCTGAACAACCACCATTGGTAACTCACAATAAGATGATATATGATCAGATCATGGTTCAGAGGCTTGTCCTGAGAGAGGAGCAGTAGTCCCTGAGGAGGAATAAGAGGCTGTATATGTAATGTGTGGAATGGCCACCTGCAGCTACACGGGGTAGAATGTTTTTGAGCTAGTTATGTCTTATACAAGAATCTGAATATGCCATACTGGAATTGCTTTTTTCAAGGTTTTGCAGAGCTGACCTGCGGGGAGTCTGACTGTGTGGCCAATCCCCAGAGCGGGAGCCTGACTGTGCTGCCAGAGCCCAGCTGCGCCCCAATCTCTGGGGCAGTAGCCCAAGTTTGTCAAGGCTGTAGTGCTGAGGGAATTAATGGATAAATCAGTTAAGTGCGGGGATCTAATATCCAGTATCAGCAAGGGAGAATGCCACTAGCACACCGAGGATCCCCAATATGGGTCCAAAAGTTTTAATGAACGGTCACATAGTTACAGCAAGACAACGTTTCGGAGTCTCGCAGGACCCCTTCATCAGTCATGTGACAGCCAACAGTCAATGCAGCACCCACTTATACACACAGCCATTTTTAACTCTGGAACGTGTGCGTTTGGATTGTGCACTAATATCCGTTATCTTGCCACAGCTCTCCCTTCTTCAGGAGCGCCACCAGGATGAGCTCGGCCGGATCTCGGAGGACCTGCAGGATGAAATGGGTGTTCGCTCCAGCATGGATAAGAAGCTGGCAGAGCTCCGAGCTGAGGTAATTGCCTGGGGCGATTATGGTGCCGGATGGGCCTGGGTGGAATTGTCTTGACGTCCTTGGCGTCATTCTTGACTCGAACCTCTCCTTCCAACCTCACGTCAAATCACTTACAAACACATGCAGGCTCCACCTCCGCAACATTGCCAAGATACGTACCTTCCTTACCCCAGACACCACTAAACTACTAGTACACTCCCTCATCATCTCAAGCCTTGACTACTGCAACTCCCTCCTCACCGGCCTACCCCAGTGCAAGCTCTCCCCGCTTCAGACCATCCTCAACTCAGTGGCTAGACTCATCCACCTCCCCAACCGCTTTACCTCTGCCACCCTACTCTGCCTCTCCCTCCACTGGCTCCCGATTGCCCAACGCATCAAATTTAAACTTCTAACCCTGACCTACAAAGCCGTCCACAACACTGCCCCTGACTACCTCACCAACCTGATCCCCAAGTACCGCCCTACCCGTACCCTTCGCTCCTCACAGGACCTCCTTCTATCCTGCTCCCTGGTCTCCTCCTCCCATGCACGACTGCAAGACTTCTCCAGGTCCTCCTCCATCCTCTGGAACTCACTGCCCCAATCCATCAGACTGTCGCCTTCCCTCCTCACATTCAGGCGCTCCCCTCGAAACCCGCCTCTTCAGGGAAGCCTACCCCACCCTCACCTAACGGCCACTCTCCCTCATTCCTCCCACCACTTCACTCCCCTCAGCCACTTCCTACTGTACCACTACCCCCCCCTCCCTCCTAGATTGTAAGCTCGAAAGAGTAGGGCCCTCTTACCCCTCGTACGTTGTTTGTTATTGTTGTACTGTGCCATGTATTGCCCCCCCTATATTGTACAGCGCTGAGCAAACCCTTTGGCGCTATATAAACCCGATGTAATAATAATCTTTATCTTTGTGTCTTCCTACCCAGATGGAGGGACTCCAGGCAGAGAATGCGGAGGAGTGGGGGCCGCCGGGAGAGGCTGGAAACTGAGAAACTCAATCTAGAACGGGAGAACAAGAAGCTGAGACTTCAGATCCAGGACCTGGAGGAGATACTTACCCGCAAGAGGAGACAGACGGCCAGTGCCCTGGACACCGACCTGAAGTCCATCCAGTCTGAGCTCTTCGAGAAGAACAAGGTAAGATACATTCACTGCCAGAACTAGGGGGGATGAAGATGGTGGGATCTGGTCACTACCAGACCAGAGGGAATGAAAAAGGTAAGATCCAATCACTACCGGGACTGGGGGAATAAACAAGGTGAGATCGGGCCATTGCCAGGATTGAGGAAATGAAAAAGGTGACTTCTGCTTACTGCCAGACTGGGGGAATGAACAAGGTAATAACTGGTTACTGCCATGACTGGGGGCATAACAAGGTGAGATTCGGTCATTGCCAGGACTGGGGGAATAACAAGGTGAGATCCTGTCACTGTTGGGACTGGATGAATAAACAAGGTGAGATCCTGTCACTGCTGGGACTGGATGAATAAACAAGGTAAGATCCTGTCACTGCTGGGACTGGGGGAATAAACAAGGTAAGATCCAGTCTCTGCTGAGACTGGGGGGATGGATCTTAAGAAAGATCCCAACTCCTCTTCTATCCAATTGGCACTATTCTCCCCTCCCCCATGCAAACAGACCCGGGAAATTATTTCCTCTCCTATGAGTAGAAACATTCTGGAGACAGATCAATAACACATTGCTGTCTATAGAGTTCCAGAAAAGTGCCCTACATTAATGGCACACCATTATATCATTACTTGTCATGCCAGACTGAGGGCCCCTGAGCACCACAGACCTCTCCCCGTCTGCATGGATATTTTTCATTGTATAATTCACCCTTCACACCATACACAGTGAGCCTTAAATTTACAAGCTGCGTGTGAGTATGTGTACTTGATGTCCCGTGTTTCTGCCTGGCTCATACTGGCAATGTCTGTCTGGCACATTGTGTCCCCTGAACACACCCACTAGTGTATACCCCAATAATGAGCGCATGTAGAAGGTGATTGGAATGGTTTATAATCAGATTTTCTGCACGTGGTAGGAACTGTCCGATCTGCGGCACAGCCACACCAAACTGAAGAAGCAACATCACGAGAAAACGGCGGAGCTCACTCATGCCAACCGCAGGGTGGAGCAACTAGAGGTGGAAGTGAAGAAACTGCGTCTCAGGGTGGAGGAACTGAAGAAGGAGCTGGGCCAGGCAGAGGACCAGGTAGGTTCAAGGAAGGTTGGACCAGTTGGAATCATGTCCGTGTTACACACATGCTGCCATTAGTGACTTCCTCTGAAACTGCTATTTGCCTGACTGTCCTGCTGATCCGGGGGGGGGGATCGGTGACCTGGAACAAGGATACAGGTAAATGGGGGATCGGTGATCGGTGACCTGGAACAAGGATACAGGTAAAGACCTTCTTTCCTGATCGAAATGCTTGTTCTCGGTCACTGGCTGAAAGTACGGAAGCCTGGGGATCAGTATGAAGATCAGGTAGTTGGCATTTTCAGCAGATGTAAACATTGGAGCCATGTTACATTCATGGTAAATAATCTTATGTCATACTGCAAGGATTCTTGTAAGGGGGTGCGGGCATGTCCTCCTTGTAACAGGCAATGGTGTTTTTGTTGCAGCTAGATGAGTCCCAGAACCAAACACGCAAGTTGCAGAGATCTCTGGATGAGCAGACGGAGCTGAATGAGAACCTGCAAGTTCAACTTGAGCATTTACAGTCAAGGTAAGTAGTGTAGTGGGGTATCAGGATGCACCTATCTCCCTGTACATGGACTGGTATTAGGCACAGACTCTGGGAATCAGGGGGAACCTACCCCTCTGTACATGGAATGATGTTGGGCAAACACTGTGGGAGTTGGAGGGGCACTTATTGCTCTGTACGTGGACTGGTGCTGGGTATAGTCTGTGGGGTTGGTGGGCACTTAACTCTGTGTATGTCATGATGGTCATGGAGCACCTACCTCTCTGTACGGGGACTGGTGCTAGGTGTATTGGGGGTCAGGGGACACCTACCCCAGTACACATATAGACTGCTTGAACTCTGTTCCAGATATGGAGGCCACCTCTTACATATATACAGTCAGGTCCATAAATATTGGGACATCGACACAATTCTAACATTTTTGGCTCTATACACCAGCACAGTGGATTTGAAATGAAACAAACAAGATGTGCTTTAACTGGAGACTGTCAGCTTTAATTTGAGGTATTTACATCCAAATCAGGTGAACGGTGTAGGAATTACAACAGTTTGCATATGTGCCTCCCACTTGTTAAGGGACCAAAAGTAATGGGACAGAATAATAATCATAAATCAAACTTTCACTTTTTTTAATACTTGGTTGCAAATCCTTTGCAGTCAATTACAGCCTGAAGTCTGGAACGCATAGACATCACCAGACGCTGGGTTTCATCACTGGTGATGCTCTGCCAGGCCTCTACTGCAACTGTCTTCAGTTCCTGCTTGTTCTTGGGGCATTTTCCCTTCAGTTTTGTCTTCAGCAAGTGAAATGCATGCTCAATCGGATTCAGGTCAGGTGATTGACTTGGCCATTGCATAACATTCCACTTCTTTCCCTTAAAAAACTCTTTGGTTGCTTTTGCAGTATGCTTTGGGTCATTGTCCATCTGCACTGTGAAGCGGCGTCCAATGAGTTCTGAAGCATTTGGCTGAATATGAGCAGATAATATTGCCCGAAACACTTCAGAACTCATCTTGCTGCTTTTGTCAGCAGTCACATCATCAATAAATACAAGAGCACCAGTTCCATTGGCAGCCATACATGCCCACGCCATGACACTACCACCACCATGCTTCACTGATGAGGTGGTATGCTTAGGATCATGAGCAGTTCCTTTCCTTCTCCATACTCTTCTCTTCCCATCACTCTCGTACAAGTTGATCTCGGTCTCATCTGTCCATAGGATGTTGTTCCAGAACTGTGAAGGCTTTTTTAGATGTCGTTTGGCAAACTCTAATCTGGCCTTCCTGTTTCTGAGGCTCACCAATGGTTTACATCTTGTGGTGAACCCTCTGTATTCACTCTGGTGAAGTCTTCTCTTGATTGTTGACTTTGGCACACCTACACCTACCTCCTGGAGAGTGTTCCTGATCTGACCAACTGTTGTGAGGGTGATTTTCTTCACCAGGGAAAGAATTCTTCGGTCATCTACCACAGTTGTTTTCCGTGGTTCTTTTGGTGTTGCTGAGCTCACCGGTGCGTTCCTTCTTTTTAAGAATGTTCCAAACAGTTGTTTTGGCCACGCCTAATGTTTTTTCTATCTCTCTGATGGGTTTGTTTTTTCAGCCTAATGATGGCTTGCTTCACTGATAGTGACAGCTCTTTGGATCTCATCTTGAGAGTTGACAGCAACAGATTCCAAATAGCACACTTGAAATAAACTCTGGACCTTTTATCTGCTCATTGTAATTGGGATAATAAAGGAATAACACACACCTGGCCATGGAACAGCTGAGAAGCTAATTGTCCCATTACTTTTGGTCCCTTAAGAAGTAGGAGGCACATATGCAAACTGTTGTAATTCCTACACCGTTCACCTGATTTGGATGCAAATACCCTCAAATTAAAGCTGACAGTCTGTAGTTAAAGCACATCTTGTTCGTTTCATTTCAAATCCATTGTGGTGGTGTATAGAGCCAAAAATGTTAGAATTTGTTGATGTCCCAATACTTATGGACCTGACTGTACACTGCTCAAAAAAAATTAAAGGAACACATCAGATCTCAAAGGGGGAAAATATCATGATGGATATCTATACTGATATGGACTGGGTACTGTGTTAGGAATGTAAGGATGTCCCATCATTTGATGGAAATGAAAATTATCAACCTACAGAGGACTGAATTCAAAGACACCCCGAAAACCAAAGTGAAAAAATGATGCAGCAGGCGAGTCCATTTTGCTGAAATTTCATTGCAGCAACTCAAAATGGTCCTCAGTAGTTTGTATGGCCCCCACGTGCTTGTATGTATGTATGTATGTATGTATGCCTGACTATGTTAGGGCATGCTCCTAATGAGATGACGGATGTTCCCTAGGTCTGGAGCAGAGCATCACTGAGCTCCTGTAAAATCTGAGGTGCAACCTGGCGGCGTCGGATGAACCGAAACATGATATCCCAGAGGTGTTCTATTGGATTTAAGTCAGACAAGCGTGGGGGCCATTCAATGGTATCAATTCCTTCATCCTCCAGGAACTGCCTGCATACTCTCCCCTTATGAGGCCGGGCATTGTCGTGTACCAGGAGGAACCCAGGACCCACTGCACCAGTGTAGGGTCTGACAATGGCAGTCAGGGTGCCATTGTCTAGCCCAGGGGTAGGCAACCTGCGGCTCTCCAGCTGTTGCAGGACTACAAGTTCCATCATGCCTGTGCAAGTCATAGCTGTAACTGTCAGTTTTGTAATGTTGCAATGTCTCATGGGAAATGTAGTTCCACAACAGCTAGAGAGCCGCAGGTTGCCTACCCCTGGTCTAGCCTGTAGAGGTCTGGGCGTCCCTCCATGGATATGCCTCCCCAGACCATCACTGACCCACCACCAAAACGGTCATGTTGAATAATGTTACAGGCAAAACGTTCTCCGTGGCTTCTCCAGACCCTTTCATGTCTGTCACATGTGCTCAGGGTGAAGCTGCTCTCATCTGTAAAAAGCACAGGGTGCCAGTGGTGGACCTGCCAATTCTGGTGTTCAATGGCAAATGCCAATCCAGCTCTATGGTGCCAGGCAATGAGAACAGGGCCCACTAGAGGACGTTGGGCCACCTTCATGAAGTCTGTTTCTGATTGTTTGGTCGGAGACATTCACACCAGTGGCCTGCTGGAGGTCATTTTGTAGGGCTCTGGCAGTGCTCATCCTGTTCCTCCTTGCACAAAGGAGAGCAGATACTGGTCCTGCTGATGAGTTAAGGACCTTCTACGGCCCTGTCCAGCTCCCCTAGAGTAACTGCCTGTCTTCTGGAATCTCCTCCATGCTCTTGAGAATGTGCTGGGAGAAACAGCAATCCTTTTGGCAATGGCACATATTGATGTGCCATCCTGGAAGATTTGACTGCCTGCGCAACCTCTGTAGGGTCCAGGTATCGCCTGATGCTACCAATAGTGACACTGACCCTAGCCAAATGCAAAACTAGTAAAAAAAACAGTCAGAAAAGATGAGTAGGGGAAAAAAATGTCAGGGGCCTCCACCTGTAAAAAATGTCCTGTTTTGGGGTCATCTCATTGTTGCCCATCCAGTGCACCTGTTATTTTCATTAACACCAAAGCAGCTGAAACTGATTAACAACCCCCTCTGCTACTTAACTGACCAGATCAATAATCAAGGAGTTTAATTGACTTGATGCTACACTCTGATTAAAAAGTGTTCCTTTAATTTTTTTGAGCAGTGTAGTTTATTATTATTCATTGTCTACTCCTGTCTGTCCCCTGCAGGCTGCGCCGCCAACAGAACCCGCCACTGTTTGGGAAGCTCCGCACAGCTCGATTCGGGAGTGATGACACCGGAGAAATGGGAAGTGATCCTGATGAGGATGAGCTGCAGATTCAAGTCCCGTAATCGGAGGTGTCTGTGGATGCTGCAGGGCCGTATTAACCAATCATGGACTAGTACCATACGGAAGGAGCGTACTGTTGGGGTGCCATCCAGGCCGTTCCTTCCTGTGTGCCTTACCACTAAATATTACATGATGTTATGATATATGTTATATCATTTATTATATACTTTATATATTTATATAGTTAGCCCGGCCACACTACCTCTGCTGGGAATCATGACACTACCCTGGGGTGGCATAATAGCTCTTGTAAGACCCCGAACTGTGTTCTCCAGGCAGAGTACACCCAGCCGTGGCTTCACCTGTGTTTAAACAGGAGACGTTCCGTCTGTCTGTGTGACCTTTAACATTACTCTTCGTATATCTTCTATAGGCTGATATTGCATGTACTTCACACCCCCTGACATTATCAACTCTTTTACAATTTAGCAAACTAGACATGTTCCTCGTGTATCCCCCACTGAGAAATCCATTCAGATTCTATAAATTACGGTCTGTGAATTGAGGCAATGAGTATAGTACTCCAGCCTGTATCATGGGACAAGAAGTGTAGACTTTCAGTCTGTGCCCTGAGGCAATGAGTATATATTCACAGCCTTTTACCCTGAGGCAAAATACAGTTTGTATCCTGGGACAATGGGTATAGAACTCCAGCCTGTTTTCTTTGACAACAGGTATAGAACTTCAGCCATTATCCTGGGACAATCAGTATAGAATCCCAGCCTGTATCATGGGGCAGTGGGTCAAAAATCCCAACCTTTACCCTGACGCAATGCGCATAGAATCACAGCCTGTATCTTGGGACAATGGGTATAGAACTCCATCCATACTCCTAAAGCAATGGGTATAGAACTCCAGCCTCTATCCTGAGGCAATGAGTATAGAAGACTAGACTGTATCCTGGAACAATGGGTATAGCACTCTAGCCTTTATCCTGGGACAATGGGTATAATACTGTAGCCTGTATCCTGAGACAATGGGTAAAGTTCTCCAATCTGTATCCTGAGAAAATGAGTATAGAAGCCTAGACTTTATCCTGAGGCAATGGGTATAGCTCTCCAGCCTGTATTCCTGGACAATGGGTATAGTACTCCAGCCTGTATCCTGAGAAAGAGGGTATAGTTTTCCAGCTTGTATCCTGAGGCAATGAGTATAGAAGCCTAGACTGTATCCTGAGGCAATGGGTATAGCTCTCCTGCCTATCCCTGGACAATGGGTATAGTTCAGCATCCTGAGCAATGAGTATAGAAGCCTAGACTGTATCCTGAGAATGGGTATAGCTCTCCTGCCTATCCCTGGACAATGGGTATAGTTCATCAGCCTGTATCCTGAGACAGAGGGCATATTTCTCCAGCTTGTATCCTGAGGTGATGAGTATTGAAGCCTAGACTATCCGGAGACAATACCTATAGTACTCTAGCCTGTATCCTGAGACAGTGGCTCTAGTACTCCAGCCTGTGTCCTGGACTAATGGGTATAGTACTTCAGCCTCTATCCTGAGGCAATGGGTATAACACTGTAGCCTCTATCCTGAGGCAATGGGTATAGAACCCTAGACTGTATCCTGTGGTAATGGGTAAAATACCTGCTGCGTTGCCCTCCACAGATTATGTCAGATCTCCCCTCAAGATCATGTTTACTCCAATTAATACATAGCTATCACTCCCTGTGTATACATATTGTACACACCTGGTACTCCAGACATTCCCCATAGGAGCCTTGTATATAAAACTGGTCATATGACCTCTCACCTGAGGCTCTTACTAGCGCTGATGAATAAGTCATCATACCTGTGTATGCGGCAATCCACTATGGTATTCCTATGGTTTTAGCCTGTTGTGTAATGACAGCACCCAGTGTGTGCATCATGTTATGTCATTAAGCCTCTAAGGTGTATTTCATTCTTGTCTATTAAAGGACACAGGAAGTATTAAACTATTGGGCTATACTGCCACCTACAGGAGGATTGGAGGCTGTCAAAAAAGGTGCAGGTCGACCCAGGATAACACATTCCTACTCCCAGCATGCCCAGTGTCCTATGAAGATGGACATCCTTTTCCAGCTCTACTTTGTTGAAATCATTTTCAGCTTGCATGCAGCTTACTTCAATCACGACTTCACATCACTGCTGGCAGTTTCTCCTCCCCTTGGCTTTAGGAGGCTCTTGGTAGTACTCCACTGGACTGGACGTTGCAGCAATAGCCTGTGACCTTCAGGGGCTAAGCTCCACGAGGGGCGCATTTCAGACTTTATCCTGGTGGGCTAGCTGAGCAGAGCTTTCTAGGTCCAGAGTCTCTGGTGTTGCCTCAGCTCTCATCCTGTTCTCTGAAGACTCAGTGAGTATGCCGGTCGGGTGAGCATTGGTAGCCAGTTTTACCAAGGAAGGGGTTAACACTGTGAAAGTGAGCAGCAATGTCATCTGCTGGGTGGATTGTTGTGCACGCCCTGCACTCTCCCACCACAGAGCATGAAGAAAGCATCTCCCTGCTGGTTCCTTACCGCCACATGGTAGTGACATGTCTGGTAGTACAAATGGGGGAGACAGTTCCATTTCACACTCAACTGATGGCTCGGTGCAGACTGCAATCATAGGGCTCATTTACACTAGTGGCAACTTTGAAAAGCGATCCAGAGGCATTTCACAGGTGATGAGGCAATAGGTCTCCCCACTGCCTTTTTTTAACCCCCCAAATGCCACACTACCTCACTGTAACTGCGTTCAACACATGCGGTTGCAAGCCTTTTGCAGTGCAGCTCTATTCCCTTGAATGGGTCTCATTCAGTGGCCAGGATGCTGTGCTTTGCATGTGTACATCCCGGCCAATGCCTTTTGCAGCTAAGGGGAGGTGATTGAGGCAGTAAAAATGCAGCTCAACCATGTGGTTTTGACCACCTTCCCCCCAACCACTAGTGTAAAGTAGCCTAAAGGGTCTGCTTCACCCTTGGAGTCGATTTGTCTCCGACAGGTGTGTGCGGCTGCAGTTTTTTTTACCTGCTTGACAACTCTGCAGAGGCCACAAACATGCTGCCACACCCTCTTTGACTTTTTCTGCACCCTCTCCTGCAGATTTGGTATGTGATTGGACTACCCTGTGAGTGAAGTCTGAGCCATCGGCTATAGAGACTGTAATTCTGAGTTGCTTCATTCCTTGACTGGTGAACATACCCCCCGAGGAGTCGCAGTATACTGTTGTTACCCCCAAATTAAAGTGGACAGTTTCAGCTCTTATTGATGCAGTGTGCACCTCTGAAACTACAGGACCATCCCATTGCTTCTTTCAGTGCCATTTCCAGTCTCTTTGCACTTGCTTTTACAACAGATTCTTTATGGAGATTGGAAAGCTCCTGATAAGCTGTTTGCTCCCCCTAAGCCACTGGTCTGCAAACTGTGGACCGGGGGCTGGATGCGGCCCTTTGCTTGCCTTTATCCGGCCCTTGGGACACTTTTCCTCCCAAAGATAGCAACGATGGGGCAGTATTCCTCCCACCTTACTCCCAACGATGGGGCACTATTCCTCCCACTGACTCCCAACGATGGGGCACTATTCCTCCCACTTACTCCTAACGATGGGGCACTATTCCTCCCACTTACACCCAACGATGGGGCACTATTCCTCCCACTGACTCCCAACGATGGGACACTATTCCTCCCACTGACTCCCAACGATGGGACACTATTCCTCCCCACTGACTCCCAACGATGGGGCACTATTCCTCCCACTGACTCCCAACGATGGGGCACTATTCCTCCCACTGACTCCCAACGATGGGGCACTATTCCTCCCACTGACTCCCAACGATGGGGCACTATTCCTCCCACTGACTGACTCCCAACGATGGGGCACTATTCCTCCCACTGACTCCCAACGATGGGGCACTATTCCTCCCACTGACTCCCAACGATGGGGCACTATTCCTCCCACTGACTCCCAACGATGGGACACTATTCCTCCCACTGACTCCCAACGATGGGACACTATTCCTCCCACTGACTCCCAACGATGGGACACTATTCCTCCCACTGACTCCCAACGGTGGGACACTATTCCTCCCACTGACTCCCAACGGTGGGACATTCTATTCCTCCCACTGACTCCCAACGGTGGGGCACTATTCCTCCCACTTCTCCCAACGGTGGGGCACTATTCCTCCCACTGACTCCCAACGGTGGGGCACTATTCCTCCCACTGACTCCCAACGGTGGGGCACTATTCCTCCCACTGACTCCCAACGGTGGGGCACTATTCCTCCCACTGACTCCCAACGGTGGGGCACTATTCCTCCCACTGACTCCCAACGGTGGGGCACTATTCCTCCCACTGACTCCCAACGGTGGGGCACTATTCCTCCCACTGACTCCCAACGGTGGGGCATTTTTTCCTTCCCCTAATGCCAAAGAGGCGATGATGGTTGCTTCCACTGACTGCAGGACAATTTCTACTCCCAAGGCTCATAGTCCAGCCCCCAAAGTCTGAAGGACAGTAAACTGACCCTTTCTTTAGAAAGTTTGAAGACCCCTGCTCTAAGCACTTATTAGTGTTGTATCCAATTAGTGGGAATTTTGTACAGAAGTGATGTTTTGATTGTGGATCCGCCAGTGTTCCACCTCAGCAGGGCGCACACTATGTGCTAGAGGATGCACTTGTCCTTTATGCCTCTCACCTGTACCTCAGGTATTCCCCAAGATTCTGGCCCCAGTATTAGTCCTGCTGCTGACAGGCCAGATCATTGTCCCGAGCTTTGTGCTTTAAGAACCCTGAATGGGAGCTTGAGAAGTCCTTCCCATCTTTTGTAGGATCCCCATGATGGACTCCAGCCTGTCTTGTTGTTGCAGGGGATTTTGTCATCAGACGAGTCCTATCTACTAGCCAACATCCTAAAACATCGGGCAATTTGGCTCTGCAAGATTGGACCATCTTGCTAGAGGCTCGTCTGTCCGGGATTATGGTGGATAACACTAGGTTGCTGGCAACTATCATTCATCAGGCAAGAATCGGAAGTC